GCTCCCAGCAGCAGACAGGATCATGTGCAAGACCTAAGTTTGGTTTATCAGATTAATCAAGACCTTTTCAGATCTTGCTCAATCTCTAAAAAACCAAATCAAACCCACCCTGTGAATTTTATGTGACCCAGAAGAAACCAGGAGTTACCCTTTTTTTAAGCTCCTCTTGCTTTTTCTTCTGTAGCTTTTCTTTTTCTTTAATTTTTTCTGCTATTTTCTTTTTTTCTGAAACTTTCGGTTCTGTGAAGGGTGGAATAACAAACACAGCTCTCAGAAGGCTGATGATTTTTCCCCCCACACAACCACAGAAACACTGGAAGGCACCGAGCTCAGCTCCTGGGAGTGAGCAGAGTTAAAGACATTTCTGTTAAAGCCAGCCCAGCCCCGCTCAGGTTTGATCCTCACACCCCAGACACACCAGTGGCTGCTCCCATGCTGATACAGAGACAGGGGTTATCTGAAACTCTCACCTTGTTTTACCTCTGTCTCCTTCACCTCCTCCTCTTCCTCCTCATCATCCCAGTTATCCTGCAAAACAGTGAAGATCTTTTACAGACACCTGTAACCTCTTCCAGAGCCACAAACCCACTGATGTGCTGTCAGAGTGAAGGAGCCATGCGAGCTGTACCTCATGGGTTTTTGGAGCTGTCCTCTCTGGCTGGGGCCAGTTCTTACCATGAAAAAGGCAGATTGGTCAAACAACCAGCTTGTGTCAGTAATTACAACAGCCAGGTCACAAACAGCCACACACCACTGACACAAACAGCACTTTATTCTCATTTCTGGCATTTTGACACACTGAACATCCCTGAGGGATGGATGCAGCACAGCCCCACTGGAAACCCCCAGCCCAGCTGAAACCACGTCAGACCAGCACAGGCTGCTCTCCGGGGCTGGGAAAAGCCTCCCCCAGCTGCAGGGATTTTTGGGAGCCCACAGCAGAGGCAGAGGTGCAGAGCCCCACGCTGCAGCGGGATGTGCTGATCCAAGCAGGGAGACACCGAGTCCCTCCACCAGCTCACCAGGATAATTGGCACCTGCAGGGGACTCGGCTTCCCTTCCACATTCCACAGAGCTGACTTGAATTTGGAGCAGCATTATTTTAGCTCACATCTAATTAACTTTGCTACACCCACTGCTTAAATAGCTCCACTCAGCACTGAGGAGCTGCCTCAGCCCCAGCCTGGCCAGGCTGCGAGTCAGATGCAAACTGCAGAGGAAGGGCAGCCTGGCCATGAGGGATTCATCCACGGCCCTGCGATGGCTGGGAGACTTCAGAGAGAGCACATGGGCAAGGACTCCACACCTGAGATGTGCCCTGACCCCATCCTGCCAGCCAGGCCTGGTTCATAAACCCAGGGAATACCAAATCCTGCCAGCCTGGCCTGGTTTATAAACCCAGGGAATTCCAAATCCTGCCAGCCTGGCCTGGTTTATAAACCCAGGGAATACCAAGTCCTGCCAGCCTGCCTGGTTTATAAACCCAGGGAATTCCAAATCCTGCCAGCCTGCCTGGTTTATAAACCCAGGGAATTCCAAATCCTGCCAGCCAGGCCTGGTTTATAAACCCAGGGAGCTCTCTTGCAGGAAGAGCCAGCTGCCCCAGTGCCTGTCCCTGCAGTGATACAGTAATTCCCAGAGAACACACTCATTCCCCAGTATTTCAACACTGTTTCTGTGTCCTACACTGGCCCAGGGCTCCCGGAGGGGGCAGGCACTGGGCACTGGCTCCCAGCTCTGGGATGGAGCAGGCACTGCCCCGCTCTGGCTGTGCCAGCCCTGAGTCAATAGATGAAAATTCCCTGGCAGCAGGCCTGACTCCTGGGGAACGTGTGCTGGGAGCACTGAGAGGAGTTTTGTTACCAAAGGTGCTAATTTTAAACCCGGGAAGTTGACGTTTCCCAAATTAACAGTTCCTGCAAGTTCATTACCAAAAACCCTCCAAAACACAGATGTGCAGATACAAAGCACACTGTGAGGTGCCTTAGGAAAGCCATGGCCAGAAAACACTTGGGGCTGCCCCTTTAGACCACGTCATCCCTCACGTGGGGATTTCCCCATGTGGGCCCTCGCAGGAGGATCCAGAGCCTGAGCAGGGCCCTTGGGAGCCCGGCAGGAAGGGCAAACCAAAGGAAAATAAACCACAATAAAACTCCTTTCTTTGCTGGATCCTCTCTAGGTGCAGCTCTGGCACTAAACCCACAATTCCTTGGAAATAGTTAAGCAACTGCATCCTTGCTACGTGTAAGATGTAAAATGTCTTCCCACTGCCAGAGGGCAGGGATGGAGGAGATATTGGGAAGGGATTGTTCCCTGGGAGGGTGGGGAGGGGCTGGGATGGAATCCCCAGGGAAGCTGTGGCTGCCCCTGGATCCCTGGAAATGCCCAAGGCCAGGCTGGGATTTAAGGTGCCCTCCAACCCAAACCATTCTGGGATTCCACGTGGGGAATGTCTGCTCCTTTATTAAACAGACAGAGACCCCTCAGGGGTCTCAGAGAGAACCAACCACTCTGGACACACTCCATCCAGCAGGAAAGCGTCTCACTTCTTAAGGCAGGAGGAAAAGCAAATGTCACAGCCTGAGCTACAGGTGTCTGCACACACCTGTCAGTCACACACCCCTGTGCCAGCTCCACACTCACTGCCAGTGCCAGAGCTGCTGTGCACACACCTGTGCTTGTCCTGACACCTGGCACGCTGGGCTGGGGCTGCTACTGGATTTAAGAAGCAAAGTGACACACGGAATCACAGGAATTTGGCAACTTCAGGGTTTTTAAAAGATGAACTACTTTTTCCGTACTGTGTATGGGAATAACTCCACCTGAGCCTCAAGAAAAACTCTGTGTGCTTTTCAGAGGTTTTGGTAACAGTGTCCTCAAAACCAGCCCTGAGTCCTCACCTGCTGTTACAATGTCCCAGGGCCTGAGGAAACAAAAAGGTCTTTTGTAGTTGCCTTATTCCACTGACAGAATCTGGGACGGTTTGGGTCTGCAGGGACCTCAGAGACCCCCAGCTCCAGCCCGTGCCGTGGGCAGGGACAGCTTCCACCAGAGCAGGCTGCCCAGGCTGGCTTTAGAACCCACCTGGCGTGCTCCTTGTGCATTCCCTGCACCCCCAGCACACCCGGTGTGGGCACGGAGGTTTCCGTGGCACCACCAGCCTGCCCAGCAGGAGCACACAGCCCCTGAGGCAGCCCTGCCTGCTGGAGCACCAGCAGTGACCAGCCACACGTTTCATCCCACTGCGGGCAGACCGCGCTGAAACACGGCAAGGTCCCGCCTCGTGGTGTGAGGAAAAGCAGGAAAAGACGTGGAAAACGTGGAAAAGACGTGGGAAAGACGTGGTGGCAGAGCACAGAAGCTTCTGGTCAGCAGCAGAAGCACCGACACAGCACTGCCATCATTAACCCCGTCCCAAGGTCTCGCCAGCGCACCCCGCTCCCGGCCCAGGCCCCGAAGGGGGGACAGCGCCCAGAGCCCGGGCAGCAGCGGAGAGCAGCAGGTGGATCCCCGAGAGCGGGACGCCGCTCCGGCAGGGTCCGACCGGCCCTCCCTGCAGCCCCGGGGCAGGCCCGGCTGCGGGCAGGGCGGCTCGGCTGCTCTGCCGCTGCGGCTGTCACCGTGACCAGCCCGGCCCGGCCCCGGCACCGAGCCCCCGCCCCGGCCGGG